TACAGTCGTCCCTCGCCACTTCGCGCTTCGACTTTCGCGGCTTCACTCTATCGCAATTTTTTTGAAATATATTCATTAAAAAGTTGATCGAGACAGTGAAAATGATACAGCGCGCGCTCGGTTGTCTGAGTCAATTATACACCCCTGTGTTACAATTAAAATAAAAATTACTGTACAGTATTTGAAAAAACCGCGATAGAGTGAAGCCGCGAAAGTCGAAGCGCGAAGTGGCGAGGGACGACTGTAATCTTTTCCTAGTGATAAATACCGTGTACAGGACAACAGACAGGGTGACTCAAAACGTGATGAATTTACCTAATATTAGAATTGAGAAAATGAGTATGCTGATTAAGCTGACCAAGCAGGAATCACTGTTACTTCTCTGAAAGTTCCTTTTTCTTTTGACGAGCCGAAACCAGGTGAATAAAATCCTTGAACCTTGAATTTTCGGAGAGGGGGGAGATGGATGAATTCAGACTAGAGTTGGCCCCAACTCTAGTTGCATCCCCCTCCAGAGTCACTCATCCCTCGCCCCCGCATTTTACAATAGTGGTCCGCAGTTAGCTGAGAGGGTGAAACGAGATGGAATGGAAATTAAATACGAACAGATCATTCTGAGCCGCCTCAGATAGGAGCGAGTTAGAGCCTCGACTGTCATTGAGATCTTTGAGCAAAGAGGCGAGTCGGACTGATGCGTCCCACGAAGAGATGGATGAGTCCAAGTGATCCCAAACGGCGATCTCGTTTCCTGACGACTAATTTCAATACGTGAATTGTGAAAGGCAAAGTTACATGGGCAATCCAAAAAGTTCAAGACTGATTTTTCACGGTGCTGATTTTGTCATCGTCTTCGCTTCATCGACTAAAATTGCCAACCATTTCGTTGAGTTTTTGTCGCTCGGTAAAATGGGAATTTTTGTCTCGTTGTCGTCGGAGAAAATGAATATTCCTTCAACGAATATTATCATCGCAATTTTTGACGATTACAGTTTTCGTCTTCGTGGTACGCTAAAAGCAGAGACTGATGCCGACAGTCTGTCATATGACTTAATTGCTTGGCCAACCCCTAGACCTCGGCCTTCGTGGCTCGTATATACGAAGACTTCCCGGGCCCAATCATGCCACCCAGGCCAATGTGACTTTTCCTATCGCAACAGTCATTGAAAGTTCTCAGGTCGGGACTTCATCTCGCGAATTCGATTGTACCCTGAAGGTACAGTGTCCAAAAAGTAGTGTAGGGATTAGGCTATCGAATAACTCCTGACATATTGGCGATATTATTTTTCTCTTATAGATAGGTTAGAGTGGACTCTGGAGTTTTGTGATGAATCGTTGGACAGTCGAACAACATGCAATTGTGAAACTATACTTTTCTAACAGACATTCCATCTATTTCCCATCAATTCGAACAAGAGGAGTCAGACTTTTATTTTCAGTCAAAAAGACAACGAATCGTAACTTAAATCTTCCAGACTATGATTCGATGGAGAAAGAAGCGGAACCAGATTTTTTGCGCAACCATAAAAACAAAATTGTGCTGCAAAGCAATAAATTTTCATATTTAAGAGCCCAGCCAGTGAAGCTTTGCCGTTCTGGATGGCACGCAGACACTCGCTTGCTGCACAGATGAGACGAACGCATCAGCGGGCATGTCCGGTGCATTTTCTTAGCTTTCAAGTTTTAAATGGTGTATCACGTGATACATTCGGTCAATATCATTCAAAATTTGCAAAAGACTTCTTTCATCTATCCACATGTAGTTATTTTCCTTCAAAATGGAAGTAGTTACTGCTTACGTTTTATGTCCCAGCAAAGTAACTCGTAACGATTGAAATTAATGCAAAAAATGTATTTAGTGTAAAACGTAAATTTTACTTCGTTATCATCCAACACTTTACCAGCTTCCATCTGTCAGATTTTTTTTTCCCGGGTAGCAAATATGCTATATGCACCATAACTGCAGCAATCACACGTGTTTCACACACTCAGACAATGTACATGCGCAAAAGTCGCGCACCATATGAGATTTCACTTTTGCACAACATTAACCCTTCCTTCTTTCTTTGCAGGTAACTGATGGCTGCAAAATTAATAAAAGACGAGAATGTGGAGTTTAGATATGTTCAAACATAATGTGTACAGAGAATCGAAGTGTTTTCAAGTTAATGGCAAACGATTCAAACATTTATCAGGTCATCCCATAAGTAATGTCGTTTTTCTGGCATAGCCTTACTTGTATCTTCTTTATATATGAATCTGCGAACATCCCATGGAATATTTCTATGCTAACTTGTGCAGGGGTTAGTCGTCAATATACGTGCAGGTTTTCACGAGGTAACAGCGCTCCGTTTTTCTTGGACNGGTTTTGCTGTGCGTTTGGTGGGATATTCTTGGCGTTGTTTATTTTGAACTGTTGCAGCCCGATGAAACCATAACAGCAGAGGTATACTGCCGGCAGCTCCAAAGTCTGAGAGCTGCATTGCAGGAAAAACGTCCTTCATTGGCCAATCGCAAGGGTGTTTTGTTTCATCAGGACAACGCGCGTCCTCATACCGCCCGGATCACGTGTGCCAAAATCGAAGAGCTGGGTTGGGAAAAAAATTCCACATCCGCCGTATTCACCAGACATTGCACCCTCCGATTACCACCTATTCAGAAGTCTACAAAACTATCTCAACGGAAAAAAATTTGAAAGTTTGGAGGCTATCAAAAGTGACCTGTCCGCATTTTTTGCTTCAAAGCCAAAGGAATTTTATAAACATGGAATTGAAATGCTTGTAGAAAGGTGGAAGAGAGTCCTAGAGAACGAAGGGGAATATATACTTGATTGAAACTTGATGCGATGCAGGTGTATTTTAATTTTGAAAAACAGAGAAAAAAACGACATTACGTATGGGATGACCTGATACTTGGATTTACCCAATGGTGCACGACTTTTGCGCCACCCTGTATTGGTTCCTTCCAACTGGAGGTAATACATAGGGGCACTGTTCCAGTGTAATATTTTCAAAACCATCACAGCAAGTAATCAATAAAAGAAAGTTTATTTTAAATCTCAAATGACATGGAGTAATCTAGGAATCAGTGAATCCAAATTATTAATAGAGCAAAATTTGAGCTGATAATCATCACCAGAGATGGAAAGGCATGCATTCAATGATGCCTACTTAAGCATTCCCAAACTTGGCTGTTTTGTTATTGAGGGGTCTGTCCATGAATCGATCTGATGCCATGTATTCCTTGATCTTAGCCAGAGCCTTGAACTGGTTCAAGTACTTCTCAAGATTTGGGAAGTCTTTCAAGCAAGTTGGTGCCAAGATTGTATGTTGGTCCAGAAGCTCATACATGATGAAGTCCACAAATGACAGCTGAAACATATGCAAAAAATTCACAAAATACACCAAAGCTCATGATGGAACAAAAAATAGACAAAACTTCAACGGCAGTATTCCTCAAACCTTCTCTATGACATGAGCTTCAGGAATGGAAGTGAGGATACTTCCTTCCTCAGCACAGGCTCAAACATAATACCTTCATTTTACTAAGATGCTATGATTTAGTGTTGAAGGCAGACTGCAAGGCTGACAGACTTCTCACCAATGTACAGGGTGTTCTATAAATCATTGGACTTTTTAAAAATTATTATCTCCAATAATGTGCAATATGCAAATGAAACTTATTTTCCTAGAATATATATGCTTAAAATTTTCGAACATAAATTTGACAAAGAACATCGATGTATAGGCAGTGACAAAATTATCTATGAAAATAAGAAAAACTATGACTTATCCTCTCCTATGGAATTTAGACCTTTTATCCTGTCTAATGGCATTTCAGCATGAAATAAGTCATTAATACTCAATACTGAAGTGTGAATCCATTACAGAACCAAGTCCCAAGACTTCCAATGAAGCACATGATCAGTGATCATCCAAGATTATCTTGTTTTGTCCACACGTGGCTTCAGACTTGTTACAATCTAGGATAATCCAAGAATTATCCATTCTTGAAAAGGAAGGGAGACACCTTTGGGTGAAATTTTCAGCTTCTTGGGTATGTCACAAGCAGATCCTAAGGCCCAAGTGCATAAACCTCATTTAGTTGAAATAAAGGGGCCTTTAAGCTAAAGAGTTTAGAAAGACTTTACACTATAGGGGTCCACTGATTCTTAAAGGACCGTTAACTAGAGGAGCTTTCAGCATTCTGGCCTTAGGATCTGCTTGAGAAACCCATGAAGCCAAAGATTTTACCCAAAAATGTCAAGCATCACCGTTTTTTTCTTCAGTTGATGACTGCAGCAATGAAGTCAAAAGTGAAACCTGAATGCTATTATTCAGGCATGTCCCAGCTTCACGCTTATGTTGCTTACTTTTTTTGCCTGGTTGGTTCCACCTTAGATTCATTGGCAGCACACATAAGTGCAGTGTGGATGGAAAGAGTGGCACAGGACAAAGTGGGGGCAGAGGGGGGGTGAGGGGCCATAGGAACTCTGGGGCTGTTCCAGAGTTCCTACATCACCGTCTTCAACTGAGATTGTTCTCTTCCTTCTTCCTTCCCCCCCTCCCTCCCCTCACTAAAATCCAGCGTGTCTCTTGCAGACATTTTGTGGTCTTTCAGTTGTTTTCTGTCCAATGATATTTTTGATAAGTATATCCATCAACATTGTTCTGCAATCCTTCATTTTTTCAAGCGTACTTATTGAGGTGACTGATGTCCCTCACCTTCAGAATTTCTAGAGTGCATTTAGAAGTTTTCTAATGCCTGTACCTGTTCGCCGAGACTGTTTCAAGAGATAGTAACCACTCAGACGATGGTTACGATCATGCACTCACGTTTTCTCCGGCGAACCAAGGTCGATCACCCAAAAATTTTGAGAATTGCTCCAAGTACTGTGGCAACTGCTGCAAGTAGTCAGACTTGAGCTTCTCCTGCAACAGATCAAAATGCAGTTCCATTATAGCAATAAAATATTTGTAGCCCTATTGGCATGAAACAGAGACCAAGAGGTACAGCAAAACTTTGCTATAACCAAGTGTGGGGGATTGCTGAAATAATTCAAAAGGTGAAGGAGTTCACTTCTCTGGGGGAAGGGGGAGGGATTCAAACCCAGCCTGGTTCATTAACCCTGCAGTAAATGTGATGGAGTTTTTTTTTTCCCAACCCCACCAATACGAGCGCGTCATGTTTCATTTTGTTTGAGCTTGATCACTTCAGTACTTTTTGAATATAATAACTATGCGAGTGTCTCAGGTCTCTCATATAGAACTAATATGCAGCACAACATAGATGAACAAATATGCAGTGCTCTTATTTTATTTTAAAGTTCCCAGACATCTCTCAGAAATTTATTCCCCCTCATGACCATTAATAGAGGTAAAACAAAGCAACTGCTGACAGGTTAAGTGCGAACTCAAACCTCAACCTCCATCCTTCACCTCCATAAATGTAAAAATCATGCCCATCTCGGCAGATATGTGTATGCTCGCTGGGGTTCGGAAAGTACTACCTCAGAAAAACCAACACCTCTGGGATAACAGGTTCTTTTTCTCCTAAAACCTCCCCATAAGCTTAGCAGCTAATCCCATTGCACTGAAATATCCTCGAGGCCAGGGCACTACTTTCTTGAACAAAGTCGATTCCCAGAATATGGAATATCCAATAATGTTTACTGAATCATTCCTAAGTCCAAGTCCATAGACTTTAAAAGAGTCAGTAAGAATTTGGAAGGAGACGGTGGGAAGGGAACATCAAATCAGCCGCCTGCTTTGGGTGCCCACAGAGCGAGCGCCAGAGGGGCGGAGCTAGGGGGTAAGGACTTCTGGCCTTTCATACTTCAGCACAACAATCTCCTTTGCAACTCGAACTTTATTCATCTGCCTACTTCCATCCACATTGTACAGGGTGGGCCAAAAAAAATACTTCAGTTACCTTTATGACTCTACAGCACTGGTCCCCAAAAGTTTGCTAAAATTGCAATAGCGCCTAAGTATAGAACACTCATTCAGCTTTCCAATGATGTCAACAGATTTGTGACATGACTTTCATGCAGTTGGATAAAGAGTAAAAGGTGGCGCTGGAAAAGTTGGTGCCATGCTGCGATGGCAGCTAGTACATGCAAGAGGTCGCCTACTCGCCATAAGCGAAGGAATGGACGTCACCTGGAGCATATCTTGTAGGGTACTGGTAAGTGCACTTTTCAAGCGCTACCTCTGTTACACTGTGCACAACTGCATCGGAATGACGGATTGGATCTTAAATCTTTTGACATCAGTGGAAAGCTAGATAAATGTTCTATATAGAGACGTCATAGCAATATTTTCAAACTCTCAAGAAACTATTCGTACTCTGTAAAGCGTTAAAGATATCCTAAGTATTTTTTTGCTCACCCTGTACCTCCCGCGTTCGCAAGCGTGGAACCCCATGTCATTTCGCAAAATTGGACAAACTACAACATGACGAAGTACAGGATGATTCCCTGAACATCATACCATTTGAAAATTGCATAACGAATGTATCGTTGAAGCTAGGAACGGGAAACTTGGCAAGTCACGAGTACATATGGGAGATTGATTGCTAAATGAAGGTCATGTCCAACACGTCCACCTCCCCGTCCAGTAACGTGACGTAGATGTGGACCATAATTGTGCATGACTACCTGCAGTGTATCCTTGGAATTGAAAATATCCCCCACTTTTCACATGAATTCGAATTGCTTCATCAGCCGCAGAATGGTTTTCTTTCCAGGTGCAACACGTACCCCCTTTTTACAGCGAAAATTTCGTTGCACTGCGTGCAACCGCTGAATACCAGCGTCGAGAAAAACATTTTGCGATTTAAAAAATGTCAGCTGTATGGTGCACGTCACCTTGTTGCTACAACCTAGAGCAGGGGTTCTTAACCTTTTTCTCCCTACGGACCCCCTGCATCCACCACGCACCTCTGCCCGCACCCCTGGTTAAGAACTCCTGACCTAGAAGGAATAAATTCCAAATATGTGCCTGCGACTATTGCCAAGTTTCCTGTTCTTAGCTTCACGGACATGACAGTCATAGCATGGTATGATAATTAAAAAATCACTCTAAATTTCATTGTCAGCGGAGAAAGAGGGCAGTTCCATATAATTTTGTCAGTAAGAAATTGTTTGCTATAATACCTTATGGATGTTCCGGCGGGAATATAAAATAATTTCGCTTTAGGGAGAATATTGGATCCCATTCTGTAATAGCGAAGTTATAGTACAGTCGGACTGATATACCATAGTTGCCTTGGTCATATACTGTGGAAGACGGCCTCAATCAGCAACGTACCAAGCCGCCATGCATTCATAAGTCCGTGAGATACACTTTTGCATTGTGGACGTTCCTTCTGACATACATTTTTCAAGCTTGAGAGGAAGATTCAAATAGGAAATATATACTCGTAAATGAAGGGCTGAAAGGAAAAATGGTCTATCTGCAAAAAAATCGTCTCCTCGAATTCACACATTGCTACAAGTCGTATGGGAACACTGAAAAGGACAACGGGTAGCTCACGGAAGTGTGAATACATAGCAACCTAATTCGTCCCAACCAAGATTAGAGGTTACAGAAAATGATTTGTGCAACTATGGCGAACCGTCCTACTACTCAAGGGTCGAAGAGGATCTCACGAAGTCCGGATTGTAACAGAGCCGGACGAGACGATTGCGAAAATCCATGGCTTCATTCTCCATGATGTCCACTCGCACTTTCTCTGTCTCCGTCTTCCCATCCAAGCCATGCTTTCGAGCTATGTAACGCATGATAGCATTGCTTTGGGTTATCTTCAAGTCCCCATCGACGTAATAAGGCAGCTATGTTAGAAAGAAGAGGAACACATTAAAGCTGTATCGAGTTAGGCTAACCACTGTTTTGTCATATGGACTGTGCATAAAAGATGAAAATGCATACTCACATTTGGGAAATCCAGTTTCAGGGTATGCTTCTCACCGAACCAACAGGACTTGTCGTAATCAGGCGGAGGGCCACATTCGTATTGCTTGTCCTCATATTCAGTGCCAGTGTATTCTAGCAAAAGTCTGATGGGCTGCGCCAACTGCACAATAAAGGTGTGGACATTAGCTTAAGCCCAGTAAGGAGACCATAATCGGGCTACCTACCTACAGGCACAACCACATGCAACCATCTAGGACTAGAATTCGATTTTCCAGGTAATTACATCTCAATGGCTTTGCACAAATTCCCGTTGAAAGGGACGATCTTGATTATATGGATGGTTGCTGGTTTGAGTTTAGGGGTTTGCAGCGAGGTAGGAACTTCTTAATTTAGGCGACATGCCCCAAATTCTTTTAAGGTAAATTCATCCAAGGAGAGCCCCTTTAAAAGAAAGGGGCTCTCCTTTGAGAAACCATTTACCCTAGTTGATGTAATTCCTACAGATGCCAATTGTGACACGAGGGTGGATCAAAAAGTTTCCGGAAAAACGGCTGTAACTTGAATTTTATGATGCCAATGTTCAACGTAACTTACCCCACGTTTCAACGTACTCCCCCTCTACGTCACAACATTTGGTCCTGCGATTTACCAGCTGAAGAAAGCCCTCAGCAAAAAACTCAAGAGGCTGGTGCCTGCGCTAATCCTGGACAGCTCTCTTCAGATATTCTGTTGTTTCGAATTTCGTTCCTCGAATCGCTTCTTTCAGCTTCGAAAAAAAGTGGAAGTCACTTGGGGGTAAGATCCGGACTATAAGGTGGATGTGGAAGGATCTCCCAACCAAGATTCTGTAGACTTTCAGCGGTGCCTTTAGCCGTATGTGAGCGCGCATTATCGTACTGCAGAACAACGCCTGAGGTCAACGTCCTTGATTGCTTTCGGCGGATAGCTTCTCGTAGTTGTTCCTTCATGCAGTTGCTGTAGTATTCAGCATTCACTGTATTTTGCCGAAGAAAGTCTATGAAATTCACTCCTTTCGAATACAAAAAAGAACGCTTGTCATGACTTTCCCACTCGATTGCATGACTTTAAACCTAGGGGGTTTGAGAACGACGAATGATGCCAGATCTTCCCGTCCACTCTTAAATCTTTTATGCCATTCATGTAAGCTACTTTTACCCTAACGTGCATAAACAAACTGTACCCGCATTCTACGAAGAATTTTACAATGTTTCAATCCATCTTTGACCAAAAATTTTTGCAATAGCTCGTTGACCAATGATGAGCACGTTTTCCATACAAGCTGTTATCTTCTCACAGCCGCTGCGCATGTGCCATCAGTTTTGTCGAGTCATGCATGTGAACGGCATTAGTTGATAATGCAAAGATCGTAATGTGTAAGTTTTACCGATCTAGGTCACATGTAACCTTACTTAAGAAAACTTTTCCGGAAACTTTTTGACCCGGAAACTTTTTTTCGCATATTCAGTTTGAATCTATAGGGTGTCCCTGCTAGAAGTAGCAGGCTTAGTAATGATATAATTAATGCTAGCTCTCCAATTTTGAGTGCCTACACGCTACATGTACATTTACTTCAAAATAGGAGTTGGAAATGCCTACAAAAAAGGTATAGGGTAACTTGGGGGAATATGGACACCAAAAATGAAATCAGGTTATAGCGTCACGTCTAGGTGAAATTAAACTTTGCCAATATTCAGAAAATATTGATGTCTCCTTTATTTATTATAGAACTATTTTTTAAATTCGCTGAAACTAATTATTCAGTTGATAAGCGGATTCCTTGTGAAGGGCCATATTACCCCAATGGCCATATTCCCCCAAGTTACCCTAGGCATTTTTGACATGTTTCGTAATCATTCGTAATCAGGATTCATTTCCTACAAACGCTCACGAGTTCACGCATGAATTAAAAAAAAAAAAACGGAATGGTCACAACAAGAACCACTGCGAGACTGACGTTGCAGGCAAAAACGAATGACAATAAATAAATTAGAATGTTCAGGGTCACGCAACCAAACACAACACACGCTAAACTGGGTTCCGCACGGATTCAAAAGGCCGGAGGAATTTGGCCGAATAAAAGATTGTCAACAGAGGAACCTCAAACCGTTAAATTTATTATTACAACTCGACGTTTCGAGGACAAAAGGTACCCTTCCTCAGGGTTATCTATATGTGAATGAAAGAATTTGAAAAGGTCAGATATAATAGAGGACATCGAAGTCGAAAGGCAGAAATGAGGAAAATGAAGAGACTGGGGAAATTAAGCATCCAAGGGAAAATTTTAAATGAATTCAGGTAATAAAAAATATCACAGTTACCATAGTTAGTAAGTTATAATTTGTAAGTGCACGATACGGCGAGAAAAAAATGGCTTTATTAATGTTGATAGGCCGTTTGCTTTTCTGTTGAAATATTGGCCCAGTGCACCGAGTTCTGATGAGTCTTTAAAGAATCTCTAATTAAACCTACGGGAGAACCCATTACATAGTATTCCATTATACCGGATTTTTTAATCTACTGCCCCACAGCGCCAACTGGGAAAGGGGGGGGGGGGAGGAAGAAATGGATGAAGGGGGAGATGCGGAGAGAGGGAAGGGGAAGGCAAGGCTGGAGCTAATGGAAGGCTTCAGTGTTTCAAACCAGAACTTACGTCTCTTGCGATTGAGGGGGGCGGAAAGTCTAACGCGCTCTAAAGGTAACCTAGTAAGATCTGTTTGGTGGAGATCGTTGATGCTGAAATGTATACCAGTAGTTTCATTAGTGTATTTTGGTACATCGAATATGCTCTTTAGCGCGACAGCTGAAAGGTTAGCCATTCTCGCCGACATACTGATTGCATTTTTTAAAAATTATTATTAAATTGAAAATTTAAAAAGCACCGGGGACCAAAGAAAGGTTGTGGCTTGAGAAATGTAGGTATGAATGAAAGACTTAGGAGAATTGCAAATACAGCCCAGGGAAGGGGGGAGGGGAGCATCAGTACGAGGTTTTAATGACGAGCAAATGAGTATATCTTTAGGTTCATCTGTCTCTTAACACGTCGACCGCCACGTGACACGCCGGCGTGTCATGCAGCGCCGTAGGAAAGAATTAGCAAAACTACCCTAGCGCTCAACGTGTTAAAGGGTTGGTAGGGGAACAGCTCTTTAAAATCCTTTAAAAGTTTAAATTCACGGATTGTAGCATTGACTATGCTACAAATTATATATACTTTTAAGGCGAAAGCTCAAATAGAAGTCTTGAAGTGTGATAGTGATAGGGTTTTCGGCGTGATAATTCTCGGTTTAAGGAGGTCGGAATGAGTGACAATGGAAAAAGTTAGTTCTGTTACCTTAGGGAGCCACGCATAAAAATAATACCATATGCATGTTCTTTAAGGTGCATCAGGAAATGTGATGTTTCAGAGCAAATGCGATGAATAGCAAGACTGCAAGGGAAGGAAGAAAGAGAAAGGGAAGGGGGGGGGTGACAGGAATAAATGAAGAATGGGTGGGAATCGGTAGGTTTGGAGTAGAGGTCAGTCGAAAGGGTCCCATAAGATGAATGCGTTATAAGCGAGGGAATTGACAAAAGTTACAGATTAAATGTGGGTAAATTTGATTGTAGGATGGGGGTGCATCGAATTTAGGGGATTCATGAAAACACGGAAAGCTTCAAAATCATGATTACTAAACAATAAATACTGTAGTTATCTGAATTTAAACTATTTAAAAGGTTTCGGGGGGCTTTTTTTTCTCCAGAACTTCCTTTTTCGATATTACTCAACAGGCATAACTACAACAACATCTGGAGCCTATGGCAATACCGTGAATTTGGAGATAGTTATTGCTGTTTCACTGGAAGTCAGTTTAATGAAAAAGTGAAAAAAAATCTGAAAAAACGAACCAAAAAACGTAAATCGTAATATGATGGGGAGGGAGATCTTGGACTGAAGAGATTCCTCACCAACCAATTAACATGTCCACGTAAATTGCGCCGTAAATACAGGGTAGCCTAGAAAAAGGGCACACTTTTCAATGAAAATTTTAGGTGTGATGCTTTCGAGACAATTTTTGCTGGTTACAAGTCACCGTTTAAGATATTTAGAGTCTGAAAAAAAAAAACATTTTGTAGCTAAGTCTTTCTTCTTTCCATTACGTGTAACCGGCAAAAATTTCCGTGAAAGCATCACACCTAAAACGCGCATTGAAAAGTGTGCCCTTTTTTTAGGCCACCCTGTATAGCCCCGAATCTACAAAACTGATTCAAATTATGCGTAGTATATAGCTTAAATCGTGAGTTTTCGAATCTCTTCGCACCGGCTGACGAGGGAAAAATGAGGGAGAGAGGAAAGGGACACGGGTCTGTCCACGCCAAGTGGTCCTAGAATTTTAGCCGGAAATTTTCCTAGATATGCAAATATTACTTTCGCTACAGAAGTTCATGATCTCTTTTCCCCGAAGAAATGAATGAAAGAGAATATTACATTGAAAAATGAAAAGAATTAGTCATGATTATGATATATTATTCATACCACTCTTATGGTACTCAAAAATGTGATGAAAATGCAAATCTGGAGAGACTGAATTAGACTACTGGAAGAGATGCCAGCATGGGCTTTCCATGCATACTGATAATTTCGAATCAGCTCAGGTGTGAAGAGTAATGTCAATTGTTCACATCTTAATGATATCTTTAAAATAAAATAAATATATATGTACAGACTTCTCGTTTCAAAATACATTTTCAGAACATGTCACATCTGACACTTTCCTGTCACATCCGACACCGTCACGAAATAGGCTTATTTTCTGTTTCAAGTGTCGTCATCTTGGGGTGACTTACACTAATTCCAGGCGTTCATTCCATCTGTAGAATGAACATGAAACTAAATTATTAGGATCCGCTCGATGACAGATATGTGCAAGTGACTTAAACTTGAGGTTCACGAAATGTCACGTCTGACACTTTCCTCTGCACATAGGTACACCTCTACCATAAGGGAGAATGCAAGACTTAGGATATTGGAATTTTCAGTCACCACCCAGAGCAAATTGTTACAGCCTTTATATGCTGATTCGTCAGCCATAACATAGTTAAATACATTTTGTATACTAAAAATATTCCTCCGGATGTCACATCCGACACCGTAGACAGACCCACATGTCAATCAAGTCTGGAGAGCAACAGTGTCTTTACCAACTTCCGGGAGGCGGTGGGAGCAACCGCCTGCATTCTCATGCCTCTGTTAGATCATATACTCATGACAGGGAGTCGAAAGACGTGGATATCTATAGGATTTTGGGGGTTAAGAATCGAACGGAAGAGAGGCACCGCCACTCACATCCTCTTCACCTCTCCTCCTCTCCTCGTGAACATTTTCAGTAACGAATGCCCCTTTTCTAGGTTTTCTTTGCATAAAACCTTTGTCTCCCAATAGCAAATCAACCTCTAATTTAAAAATGTTATAAATGATATAAGCTGCAATTAGACAACTATTGGGTTACCATGGTTACAATTGGATTAACAATGTCGGGTAGATCTCCGGCAAGACAAGAGCCTAACTAACAAATTCATGGACGAAATATGCATAAAATAAATAGGAACTGTTTTCAACCCTTGTGCCTGGACACGGGGTGCGCAAAAGGGTTAATTGTTAACTTCTTGAGGAGCACGACCGAGGACCTGTCCAAGAGTACGACATCTTGAAGTCCATTGCTTATGTCTTTCAACCCGGGCTTTACACGGTTACCACCTAGAGCAGGGGTCGGGAACCTATGGCTCATGAGCCAAAATTGGCTCACGAACCAAAAAGTTTGGCTCATTGAGTCATGGCTGAAATTCATGGTTGTTCCTCATTTTTCTCATGTTTCAAATAATGCATACGTCTGCTGTCAACTTCAATAAAAATTATGTTGGTCATGAAATCATTTACTCACAAGCACTTAGCTCAACTTAGTATGCCTCACATGGCCAAAAAGGTTCCCGACTTCTGTCCTAGAGCCACTACTGAAACTGGAATTAGATTGAATCAACTTGAATTGCACTCACACCACGGATTTTCCAGTAGCCAAGAACAGCAGGCATGATGGTTTTGGTAAGTTCTCCTAGGTGTCTCACGATGAGGAAGTCTGACACCCAATGTCTACCAGGCCAATGCTTATATATGCTATATAGACGGCTCAAAATGCAAAAATAAATCTAGCAAAAAAAAAACACCAATTCACACTCAACAAACACTACAATTTAGTTTGTATAGGTTGCAGCAGGATATCTGGGTTAACTTATTCCCGTTTCATCTATCTTCTTACACGGTAGTTTTGATAAC